AAAGAAAGAAAGAAAGAAAGAAAGAAAGAAAGAAAGAAAGAAAGAAAGAAAGAAAGAAGAAAAGAAAGAAAGAAAGAAAGAAAGAAAGAAAGAAAGAAAGAAAGAAAGAAAGAAAGAAAAAAGGAAGAAAGAAAAAGGGAAGAAAGAAAGAAAAAAGGAAGAAGGGAGGGAGGGGAGGAGGGAGGGACAAAGGGAGGGAAGAAGGAAGGAAGGGAGGGAATTGAAGAAGGAAGGGAGGGAAGGAAGGAATAGAAGGAAGAAAGGAAGGAAGCAGGAAGAAAGAAAGGAAAGCAAGGAAGGAACAGAAGGAAGGAAGGAAAGGAAGGCAGGAAGAAGGAGGAGAAAGAAAGAAAGAGGAAGGAAGGGAAGGAAGGAAGAAAGAAGGAAGGAAAAAAGAAAGGAGGAAGGAAGACAGACAGAAAGAAAGGGCTATTTCTGGCTCAAAATTGGACTTCTAGGGGCAGATCCTTGGAATCAGAGATGCCACAAGCGTAAGGGAGGCTGGAATTCATTGGTGGCTAATAGCACGTATCATGGAATCATGTTGCCTGGGTTTGTAAAGTGACTCCACCCCTTACCTACCAGCCTTGGGATCTTACAGGAGTTACTCTGTTCATCTGCCACAGTTTCTTCATCTGATAAATAGAGAAAGTAGTAACAGCACATACTTCATAGTGCTGTTGTAAGGATTAAATCAGACCATCCATGTGAAAGGCCTGACACTGAGCTTGAGTTGGTAACACTGGAAAGAAGGTCTCAGTAAACATTTGTTATTACAGTCATAATGGTGATTATTATTTGATTACTTACAAGGTCTAGCATAGTACCTTTCATGTCGTACCTTCTCAATAACTATTGGATAGATCAGTTTGCACTGATCGTTGGAAGTTCGACATCGAAAAATGTCGTCTGACTAAGTCAGTCATCCTGTACGTGACCGCTGAAACTTTAAACCTAGAGACTAATGTAAGTCTTCTATCTCTTCTTTCAAAATTATTTCCATAATGAGATTTGCATTTTCAAATGGGCTTTAAAACGGGAGGATTTTTACCTCTCTTTTTTCCATCTCCCCTAGAAAAGCCATTTCTTAATCTTTGTAAGGGCCCAATGAAAAGCTAGCAGTGGCTTGCTTTACTGGCTGGGCAATTTAGTGTCTGCCGCAGAAAAATATTTAAATTGTTAAACTTGCCAGACTTTCTTCCACAAAGTTATCAGCAATGGATGAAAGAAAACTGTCGTGTATATATCCCTATTAGTAGTTAATATGATTACTCAAAATTTTTTTCTCAATCTGCTAAGCGTAAAGTGATAGCAGAAATCTTAAACCTGAAATTCACAGATTACAATTGGGCTGCTATAGAATTAAGTCTATCTGATTTCTTCAGATAGTTGAGTTATATTGAAATGAGCATAATTGATTGTAACTCTTTGGACTGAATCTACTGGCTACCTCTTTGTTTGCTCTTTAGTGCACTGTTTACCCTGTTTGTGTGGTGTGCCATGTGCCTGCCTGCCAGGCCCATAGATGTGGCTGCTCTTCGAGAAGAATTAGGTAATTTTGGGACCAGAAAACACCACTCCAGCACCGCAAGTGTGCTAACTTCATCATCTCCATTTTTACTGTCACCAAAACCTTCTTTGTCATAAGCATCATTGCCCAACATATTTCTTTAATTTACTTCTGTGAAAATTTCTAGTTTTGATTATCTTCTATTTATATGTACTCTCTTTAGGTTCATAGTTATTTTTTCTCAGCTACTTTTTTTGATCCCTTCAATTTTAGCATTTTATCTAATTACCATTTGAAATTTTTATCTTTCCTATTTTAATTGTTAAAATATATTTCTCAGGCATAATTCTTAACTTCATTATCATTGTTTCTAATTTTCTTCTTTTTAAGAAATATCCTGATGATTTTGTCCTTTTTGATCTTTTCTGATTTTTATCTTAGGTCATCTTTTCACATCCTTGGTTTATAAATAGCCAGAAGGAAATCTAGTTATGGAGGCAGATCCAAAAGTTTCTGTTTGTAAATTGGTTATAGATGGAGAAGGAAAAAAAGAATTTGTATTGAAACAGGATTTTAAACAGAGAAAATGAGTAAAAAATGGATGTGATTTACTAAAGTAGGAAAAGCTGGGAGAGGAGAAAGTCAAAAAAGAGAATAAAAGTTTCTTTTCCTAGCTGGGTGTGGTGGCACATGCCTGTAATCCCAGCACTCAGGAGCTGAGGCAAGTGGATCGCTGCAAGTTCGAGACCAGCCTGGTTATAAAGGGAGCTCAAGGCCAGCCTGAACTGCATAGGGACACCCTGTCTCAAGAAAAAAACTTTCTTTTCCTATCATTATCATGTATTAAAGAGCATTTTAACATTGAAAAAGGACATAAAATCGAAATATTTTCAAATGAACACATTCAGCTTTATGAAAAATATACTAGGTGGTCTTTTTCTTTCTAATTTGGTGGTGAATTGGTGAAAACTTCTGGCATTTGGGAGTACTTATTGTAGGTAATGGATTTATACTTCAGAAAACTCATTCTGGTACTTGCGTAGAAAACAAATTGACAAAGATTGAAGACAGAAAGCTCAATTAGGATAGAGGCTATGCAGGTCAGTTATAATTTAGGTGAGCAGAGGGAAAAAGATATCTACAAATGTGTTTATGGAGAAGCTGGACATTGGGAAAATTTCACCTGATGTGCTGGTGTGTTCTCAGTAATGCAAAGAAAAGCATTTGCTGAGAGTCATGTGGTTGAGAATTCTGCTTCAAAGAAAAAGTGAAAATTTGATGAGTTCAGAACGGCATCTATGTGCAGGTTGTGGTGGTGCACTCCTGTAATGCCACTGCTCTGGAAGCTGAGGCAAGAGGATTGCTGTGGGTTTGAGGCCAGCCTTGGCTGCATCGTAAGTTGAAGGCCAGTCTGGATTCATAGTGAGACCTTGTCTCAAAAATAAATAAAAATTAAAAATTAAAAAATGGCATCTACTGTGTAAGGGAAATTCAACCATTCTAGACTTTAGAGAAAGAGTCCTGCCTAGCCAATGCACTGTCTATCCTTAGAATGCATGGCTTTGGAAGACACCCTAATCTAAGGATTTAGTCGAAAAGAAAATAATACAATAGGAGTAATCGGTGAATGTATTAGGCACATGTTAAGTATTACCTTCATTTTGAAATCATTTCTTCATCGTGACTTTGGTGAGGTGTTTACAAGCAAGAACGCTGTTTTCGCTTTCTGTTTCGTACAAAGGTAGCCGCTTATTTCCACGAAGAGCCCACACCCTGAAGAGGAGTATCGCCATTCTCCCACCCTCCAGTTCTTCATCTGCTGTGAAGGCCATGACGGGCGTGCCTTGGGATTCTTGAAGGTACGTAATAAGGAGAGATTCTACACGTGCTTGCTACAGGATTCTCTGTGTTCTCCTCTGTTGTCCCCAGTGCTGAGAACCCAGAGGATACTAACCATATACTTGCTAAATTAATGAATGTATGGCAAAGAGTCAAAAGGATTTTTATTTTGCAATTCTGGAATTGGTACCCTGATTTTTATTTTGGAATTCTGGGAACCCACGAGTCTGTCAAGAGCTGTAAAGTGGAATGTCAATAAAGTTTTGTTAATTAAAAATATAAGTACCCACCAGAAGTACAAATCCACCCCTCTACCTGCCACGAGTCACGTGACAGGCCGGGAAGCCGGAAGTGTTGCTCACTCGCCCAATCACGCGGTGAAGCCTGCGGTGCTAAAGCGAACTGGCCAATCCCGGGAAGATCTGCTCCGTGACGCAACAAGTCCCGCCTCCTCACGCAGCGCTGACGGGTCGTGAACGGATACGGCGGCCGCGGGGGCGGGGCCAAGGCCTCTGGCGAGTCGGCGTCCGGCAGCTCCTCGCGGCTGACGGCTCCCTCTCCGCCATGGCTCCCAAAGGCGGTTCCAAGCAGCAGTCGGAGGAGGACCTACTCCTGCAGGACTTTAGCCGCAACCTCTCGGCCAAGTCCTCCGCGCTCTTCTTCGGGAACGCATTCATCGTGTCTGCCATCCCCATCTGTGAGT